ACAGACAGACACACACACAGAAGAGCCCAGAATCACCAAATCTGTCATGATCACACATGTTAAAATTAAACCTTTGTGTAAATCTCACATGATGACGATTTGCAGGGGAGGCCATGCAGTTTGAAATTGCTCCACATTTACAAGCATTCGATAACACAATTCCCCTAAATTAAATTGTTTAAATAAGATAATGGCATAAAAAACAGTTGCTATAAAAGGTGAACAAAACTAACGATTATTTTCACCATCAATGAATCCGTCATGAATCAATACAAGAATATTTAATTTACACTGCTAATTATTTGGTCTATTGAATGTGAGCAAATGGAAAAAAAAAATGCTCATTAAAACTTCTCAGAGAGCAAGTTCACTATCATAGAAAACTGAAATAAACTGATAATATTCAGATATCATATTTCAGAATTATTATTATTTATATCTATTGGTTATTCAATTAATCGTTTGATTTCTGCTCCGGAGAAAAGCAGCATATCCTCATATTTGAGAACACTAACCCAGAGAATGTTATGTAATCTAATCGTATTCCTCAACAAATGACTTATTTTCTGTTTCATTTTGACACATGAACAGAATAATTTTAGGACTAGTCCATTAAGCACCAACAGTAGAGACCAAAGCTCATTAAAAAGAAAATTACTACAGTCAAAATACGAGAATACAAGAGTTTTCTTTTGTTGTTTTACTGTATTTGTTGCTTATTATACTCTGTATGCATTGCACACATAATTGGTTAAAGTTTTAACAATTAGTAAAATATATCATGCAGTGTTCAATTAGTATTTACACTGATAATATATCTATAGTAAGGATCATAAAAAAGACATGTAAAAGTTTTAATGTAAACCATTAAAGGGGAAACATTCATCAGGGGGTTGAATATTCCCGTTAGAGGGCCGGGTCGTACATTTCATTATGTTGTAGTGCAGCAACAGTCTGAGGTCTCCCTCAGGGTTTAATTACGTTTTAAATTAACCATCTTAAGGGACTGAAACCACCTTGTAACTGTGTTTGGACAGCAGCCCAGCCTCTCTCACAGACACTGACCACTGAGCTACTGTGTGTGAACCCTAACTCTGTCTGCTGGGGCCTGGTGATCTAATGGTTCTCCCACTGGTATTTACTGTGTTGTCTGCTCGACGTTACATCACCGTGTTTGAACAGCTGTACGGACAGCTGTAGCTGAGACCGGGGGGTCAACATCCATTCACTTTTAGTTCGGCAAATCTGCCGTACTTGAAAAGGAATGCTGTATTATTACCCAATGAATGGTTTTACTTTACATGTTGAACTTCATGAATTGAAAGTGTGAATAGTGTCCATTGGTAGAGTTGGTTCAGACAGCAGAGAATGAGATGAAGCTGTTCATAAGTGTTCCTGCTGGGCTTAATCTACTGAATGGAGCACCGTCATGGTGTTACCAAAAGAGTGTATTCCTTTTAGGGCTGCATGATATTGTACGTTATTAAAATGCTGTTCCGTCACTTTGCCATATTGCAATTTTGTAAATATATCGATTAATTGTGCAGCTCTAATTCCTTTAAATAAAGGAGAGGATTGAGAATATACAAGCTTTAAACTCTAAACTATTAGCCGATTAATCAATCAAATGATAATTGTCAACCCTTTTGATAATTGAAGATGTCACCTTGGGCCCTGGGAAATTTTTACAGGCGGTTTTTACTATTATTAAGTTATTAATTGAATTATCAAGCAAACAATCAGAAAGTTGCAGCCCTAATCAAATAATACACTTTTTTATATACAGAGATGCATTGGTTGAAATCATTACCACTATATTAATGGATGAATTTTTCAACATTTACACATTATTCTGAGGTGTTTTAAGTGTTTCAGAATCAGTAATCTGACAATAGCAATTTGTTGAACGATAATTCAAGAATATATATAATATAAGCTGAAATTCAATTGACAGTTAAACTGAATTATTGCCCTGCTCTTGTCAAAAAAAATGTTTTAGCAGCTAAAGGTTTCTTTTATACGTGTTGGACATACATTTGGGAATAAATTTTACTTTTTCTTTGTGGAAAACTGATTATGGAAGGAAACTTCAACACAATCTACATATCACATATAAATGTTTCCAAGCGTCTGCGTACCTCTCCATCTGTTTCTGTTGCTTTTCCTCTCGGGCCTGGGCCTTCATCTGCTGCACCTCAATTGTGTCCGGCTTGCGGCGACGCATGTACAGCTCGTGGTTGCCCATGCACAGCTGCAGGATGCGCTTGTTTATGCGCAGCCTCGGGGCATAAAACACAAAGTCCTGCAACGTGGAGAAGACACAGACAGGGGGAGTAAGGAAGAGAGTGAACAAACACTAGGCTGAATAAAACGTTTAGCTGCCTGTTCATTGTGCTGTTCTGATAAAGAACAAAGACTCCAGTAGACTCTGAGCAGGTGCAGGGAAACTTTTGATACTACTGCTACAACAGGACTATAGAGACTGCTCCACTCATAGTGAAAGGTGAAACAGCCTGACCCACACAGATAAGGTTTATACTTGTTTGGGGTCCATCACTAATAGCATTGCCTGAAAAAGTAGCCCTGGCTATTCTGTACGCTAGATCCGACTGAGGATATGTCTAATGGTGTTCTCTCTCCACTACAGAGAAACATGATACCACAGGTAAAACGGAAGCAGAGAGCTGAAGTATAGACACACATTGCAACTTAATACTTCTAAAAGCTGAAGAGGAACAGAAACTCTTAAACTAAAGGAAACGACTTTTTAAGAGAAGAGGGAGAGAAATGTCAGGATGTGTAAAATCTAAATCTGGCTGATGATGATGATGAGGTATTACTCACCGGAGACTTTTTGTCGATGGGCTTGATGATGAACTTCTTATCATTAAAGGAAATGTTTCTGATCTCACTCCAGGGGAAGCCAATCTTTGGGGTCAATCTGAGGAAGTGAGCACAGGAACATGAACGTTATACTGCGATACTAAATCATAACAATCAGCCAAATGATGACCAATAATGAACAGAACAGCAAATAGATTGACTCGTGCTTTGGTTTTTCCCTCTCTGCTCTATTGCAGTGATGTGGATTATCACAAAAAAATAGTAATTAAATGACGGTACATATAATATCTTTAGGTTTGGACTGTTGGTCAAACAAACAAACTGAGAACCACCACAGGTTCTGAAAAATTATTAACGGTATTTCTTCAGTTTTTTAACACTTTATAAATTAATCATCAAGGAAATACTTATTAGATAATTTCAATCATTAGTTTCAGCCCTCTTTATTATAATAATACAGATAGTTTAAGATAGTTTAATCAAACAGCAAACAGTTTCAGACAAGGTCATTCATCTATCTATCTATTAATCCACTGCTATATACTGTAACGTTAGAATAATGCTCGCTCAGGCTGACTGTGAACATGGATTTCTGTATCCACTGTTTGAATATGAGGGATGAATCTGGGGTGTGGCTCGCTGTTCTTTTGTGCCAGACAAACTGAACGGATGCCAATCTCATTCAGCACAATACAAAGTGGCACTGTAAACACTGACAAGCCGATAGTGTTGTAATCTAGAAAGGCAGGCAATCCACCTCGTAGCGAAACTCTGCTGTGAAACCGTACTGCCTGAACTGGAATTTCACTCAGTTACTGACCCTGACACATGCTTGAGGAATTGGGAAAACAATGGAGAAGTTATCTCAGCAATTTCATATTTCTATCAGAGTCTACGGTTTATTGAGCTGTGCTTTAGCAATGGATTCATGTTTGTACAAACATGTTTCTGTTTTATTTTGCTGACAGTGATTCAGAAAAGGTCTGTGATTGGAGAAAAAGTGGCTGAATTTCATTAGTAAGTCTGGCCTTCTGTGACAAATATGACTGATATTAGCATTTGATAGCAATGGCTAGTGGAACCAGAAAGTCAGAAAACATGAGGAATAAAAGGTATTTTTCCGATTCAGCTATGTTGCAGTCCGCGTGGATACCAATTTTACAACTCAGTCGATATAAATAATGCAAAAAAGAAAATACTTATTGCTAATATTTTCAATATCGATTAATATAGCAACTATTTTCTAAAATTAATAATTTATTGCTTGGTGAATAAAAGGTAGGAATAGTGGGGAAATAGTAACAATGTCCTAAAACCCAACATAAGTCATGAAATTGATTATTCATTATGAAAAACCCCAAAAAGAGCTGAGTTGTTCCGTACCCTGAAGTGGAAGAGAAAACAGCCAAACCTCACATATAAAAAAGCTGAAACCTATCGTTGTTTTTCAAGTAAAAATGACCCCAACGATTAATCAACGTCACAATGCCAGTGTGTCAAAAACAGATGTTTTGGGTTCACATACTGTGAACAACAACTGTCCCATATTGAAGTTTTTTTTTTCATTTTACATAATAAATATAGTTTAACTTTGGTTCACTATAGTTGAATTAAACATTGAACTCACCCACAATCCGTTTTTTTATTATTCTTTTAGTCACTGGTGGAGTTACTGTTTCTTGTTTATTTCAACAGTTTGATCAATAAGTGCATCAATGCAAACTGCAGCACAAATGCAAACCTGTTTCGGATTGGTGTGCAGTGAGGGAAATTTACATTTTATTTAGACAAATAATCACAAACTCACGACAGGGACATTGCATATTTAAAGTAAAAAAAGGATAACTGGGAATGAATTACAATATAATTTGAATATATTTTTAGTCTTTGCCATGATGTTCTGAATCGCTTTTTATCAAGAGGCCAGGCTGGCAACACTGGTCTCTTTCTAATGATTGATTTTGTAAGAATCTGCATTGATAAAATCTCTCAGTCTCAGACACCATATCTTTGTGTCCCAGGTGCTATTTTTATTGTCCCCAGGACAACAAGACATCCTTACTTTCGAGCGCTGGTCTGTGTCTGACTAGGATGGTTGCTAAGACGAAAACTTCACCCAAAAAAAAAAGCTCTAAAAGCTCTAAAAGTCCCATGAAATGAGCAGTGATGTGGTTCAACAGAGCAGCAGAGCATAAGGAGTTAAACCAGCATCTGACTGTGCCTCGGCGAAACCTTGGCTGCACTGCAGCACTGTGGGCCAGCTGCCCTCATTGGAGAGACAGTATTGTAGGTTAGCTTCACATTCTTAAGTGCCGCACAGCTTGAAAAACCAGTCGGCGTAGCCATGGTTACAGCAGAGGGCACCGTGGAGGAGAGGCATTTCTTTGCTGATCCCAGGGAGCACATAAAGAGACAGACTCACACACGAGGACACAAGAACCTGGTTCTGTTCTTTAACCATGTGTTTCTCCCTTTTGTTGGAGGTTTCATACCACAGTTGAAATACAATAAGGCTAAATGAGAGACTGGGGGAACTTTAACACAATAGCAGTTAAAGTATTTAAATGATTTAGACTTGAGAAGAACATTTTGAGCTGATATAAGACAAAGAATTAGCCAGTAAAGGTTCAGTTAGAGGCCTCGTGGGGCAGCTGCCTTGCTAAACTTTGTCATTACCCTGTCAACAACCTCATTTCTTCCACTAAGGCAGACAAAGTAGACCACACTGCTTTCAATAGACGCTGGCACAAAACGGTGCAGCCAGTTTAATATGAGAAGAGCTCGAATCAAACTCAGCCAGAGGAGAGTACGGCTGTGGGGATTTCTAGCACAGGGTCAGTGACTGAAAGGCAAGTCACCTGGGATGAAGTGCTCCGTTAACACAGTGCACTTCACTCCAGTAACCTTGCAGATGAGGCCACCAGCCACAGGAGATCTCAGAGCTCATTTCACCAAATAGAGGGTGATTACCTCCTTAAGTGTCTTGCCCTATAAACAAAGTGGCAATCACAACTAAGACCAGGCTGGATTCTGGCAACACCCTTCAACAGACCTCAAACAGTAGGTTACCCTTGAAGCACTATGACAAAAATCTAATCAAACCAAACAAATACAAAACAGGATTATTTATGTTTTTCTGTCATACTGTCTGTGGATAAACAATAGAAACTAAGTCACGGGGAAATAAAACTGGCCTCCCAAGACCATAAATAAATGCAAAAATCTATTCAAATCTGTCTGCAAATGTATTGCAGAGACATAAACGGTCTTTAGTATAAATGGCACACACGTCTACTTTGTGCTTCACACGGTTGTTTTTATCATTCAGCAGTATGTAGAGTAATAGTTGTACTTCTATAAGCAGAGGTGTGAACAAAAGACATCTTATATGTCCTATGTATCTACAAAAGACAATGACACACCCACTGAAAGCAGGCACAATTATATGAGGCCACACATTTTAAGACATACTATGTGACAACCTCAAGATAAAAACAGATTATCACAGCTCAGGGAATCTGAAAATAATGTAACTGCCCAACTGAGAGACATAAAAGATTAAAGCAAACGGCTGAGTTTTAATTTTCAATTCTGTTGGGATACTCCTCCCAGAGACTGTATCCATTTGGCCTTCATTGTTATTCCTGTCATACTGTCTGCAGAGGAACAGGAATAGTGATTAAGTACAGACATGGACCTGGCCCAGCCAATTTACCTCTGTGTCACAGGGCTGCAGCTACTGTAGAAGCAGGCACACAACAAGAGCCAGAAAAGACGCTAAAAGCAGGGCTGTTTCTGTCCAAATACAATGCTTACTTGTCGTCCTTCTCATAAATGTTGAGTCCAAGGGCGTCCACTCCCAGCCACAGCTCTGTTCCCTTCTTATTCTTGATGTCAAAGTAGTTAACGCCGTACATTTCCAGGTCCTGGGCAATCTTCAGGTACTCCAGTATAGCGTCCTCCCTGCAAGAATGGACAGAAGACATCATTAAGTTATTATTTTAAATGGTATTCTTGAAGTGCATTAACTCAGTGAGTGACACATTATACAAAACACACACACACTCACTTCAACATCCCACAGTGCTCCTCGTGCCACACCTGAATCCTCTCCTCCCACTGTTCCCTGGATAACTTGTGCTGCTCCAGGACTCTGCAGAAAGAGAGAAGAAAGTTGCAAAGATCAGCTCCATACACAGAGAGAGAGAGACCACTAACAGACAAGACAGTCTGACATATTTAATAAATAACATCATGGACTCTATTGTTTAGAGTCAAGATTGATGCATTTTGTGCAGGCACCCACAAACCCCTTGGGAAATCTGGGGAATCCCATAAACCTCATTTCTTCATGTTTTGTGTGTTTACATTCCCAAATGAGAAGAGTTAATATCAACATCTCATCTCTTAAAAGCATCCTGTCACCAAAACAGCTACAGCAGCCAGGCGTATTGAAGCCAACCATCTGAAGTAATAATCATTTCAATTTCTGTACTCTTGTACATCAAACTTGCTGTCAATGCTAGTTTTATGAGTTTGTGCAGCGCAAATCAATGCAGGAGGTGATGAAAAGTTCTGGACACGTGAGAAAACACAGACTTCCAGGCTTTCAATATGTCCAGACACGTGAACTAAAAGGGAACATCATGTCCTTGGAAGGATATTTGAGCTGCCGGTTTCTACAGGGGATGAAAGGAACCACTATGATTGTACATGATTGTCACCAGTCCCTGACACATGCAGCCAAATCGTACCTTGCTGTGAGCCGCCTGCTATCAAAATGGAAAAAACCACGAATAACAAGATGCTGCCACACTCTTCACATGCTGTTCATGGTGCACTTGACTCTGCCTTGTGGCCTGTTCCATGATTAATTATGTAATTTAGCTTTGATCTTCCTCTTGAATGCTCTTCTTCGTTAGGGTGCTTTCACACCTAACCTGCTGAGTTCGAATAAAGTGGACCCTTGTGCGTCTGCCCGGTTAGTGCGGTTTGTTTTGAGTGGTGTGCACGCTGTCAGTCGAACCCTGGTGCAAACCAAACCAGCAGACCGACACTGCTTGCAAAAGGAGTCTTCGGTCTGCTTCCAAGCAGACTCTGATGCGGATCGTTTGTGGTGTGAAAGCAAACCAACCAACTGCAGGATTCCATGATAGCTAGCAAATATGTAATTTTAGATGATTTCAAAACTAAACCACTTCTGTTTGTGAAATCTGCCCAGGAAGCAATCTCATAAAGGATATATAAGCAAATAATTTGGTAACCACAGATGCACAGGTGCAGGTATTTCCTGATTAATAGGTCAAAAACTGTTATAACTGCTATATTTGTATCCTACTCCATGTATTTGTGTATGTTAAATAATTATTTTAATTATTAAAGTATTTCTGATTCTGATTCTGATGTGACAACTTTTTGTCATTTTTTCTACCTGTTAATGATTAACAGGTAGAAAAAAATAACACGTTATGAATAACGATTAAATCATTATTCATAACGTGGTCGATTTGCAGTCTAATAAAACTAATAATGCTTATAATCTGTTATTTCTTTGTGATACTAAAAGAACATAAATATATACATCAGAATCATTAAAGTGCTGCGTAAACTTATGTCCGTCACCCCAATTTGATTTCTCCTTGTGGGTCCTGATGACAATAGCTAAAACTGTCCAATCAACAAGTGTCTGTATATTTACTCCACTTGGTTTGTAAAATCTATATATGTTCTATGTATGATTGCGTTGAAAGTTGATATGGCAACTTTATACAGAGTGAACGGGAGATAACAGATGTCACATACACGGAAGAAATTGTTCGAATGTTTCTGATCATCATTATCTCGACTTGATTGGTACATAAACTTTGCGTTGTTCTTTTGTTTGTGCTTCCGGCACAAAGAATATTTTCTTTGGCTGGTTCAACCAGTGTTAATGAGTGCAGCTCTTCCTCACTGTTTGAGGTTTTTAGTTCCTTCTTTATCTAAATTCTTTTTATCCAATAATTACCTTACCTTGCCAAACCCAGTACTTCACTACATGGCATCTAAGCTTTTGATCCAGGCGGTGATGCAACAACAAAGCTTGATTGACTGCTCTAAGTCTATTGGCATATCTCACCTGTGTGGCAGCAGGCGTTCAGTCAGCAGGTATCCAGGTCGGTGGACTTCTTTGTTGTAGTCTCCAAACTTGGCCTGAACAGAGTAGGAAGCCAGCAGCACAGCTGTCTCTGGTGGACAATAAACCTCGTCGCTCAGGATGCCCTCTTTCACCTGTAGGAAGAACAGCTTCTGGGTGATGTCCTGGATCAGCTCCTCAGACACATCCTCAGGGAAGAATTTGGCCCTAAACTTGAACTGCAGTGGGTTCTCCTTCTTTACGTCCTGGGACGACACCTGGAGAGGAGTTATAACATAGTTAAGTAACATATAGTACCAAAAGGAATAGTTGGACATTTTGGGAAATATTGTTATTCGCTTTCTTGCCGAGAGTTAGAAAATAAGATCTATACCACTTCCGTGTTTGTACCATAAAATAAAATAAAATTTGTAGCTGCTAAACAGTTCACTAAAATATGTTTGTGACAACATTATAGGTAAGGTTAGGAACCAGCACTGCCTAGTTATCAGTTTGATCTGAGGTTTGTGAACCTAGTGCATTGCACTGGACAGACTCACTGAGAATGAGGTAGCCACACCTAAAGTCATACTCTATTTATAAGTCTATTTTAATCTAAATGGAACAATAATTTACAAAATGAACATCATGATATACGGAAGAAGACGTGAAACTAGTGACTGAGACCATAAACCCACCTGGAAACTATTTATTGAGGTGATAAATCAAGTGAGAAGTAGAGTAATTGTGGCATTATGTTGAACACAGTCGGACCAATGGTTAGAAAGTATGCAGGTTTAAGGCTTCACTTTTAAGACCCGGAGGCTCTGACCTCTGATATATACTGTCTGTCAATAGTCCAGAGGTAAAGAAATACATCTACCAGCACCTCTAAAGCTCAAACTAATTATCACATTATAACAACTTGCTGTTTTATAGACAGTTACGTGACTATTTGTTGGCCGGGAGCAGTGACTTCCTTTGGAGTCTCTGCTGGTTGCTTGGCAACAGTTCTTGTTGGACAGAGCTAGACTAACTGTTTCCCCCCTGTTTCCACTCTTTTTGTTAAGCTAAGCTAATGGCGGTTGGCTCCAGCAACATATTTACCCCAGACATGACAGTGGCATCAATCTTCTCATCTACCTCTTGCCAAGAAAATGAATAAGTTCTTTCTAGAATGTCAACCAGCTGGAAATGCTGCATTGTAGTGAGGGGAGTTGTATATGGGGCTTTGATCAGGACTCTGGTTTTCTGAAACTTGGTAGTAAAATTTACAAATCATGTCTCTTTCAAGCCTCTAATCTGTCTTATTTTTATTATTTATTTTTATTTATTATATTACAAAAGAATCAAAATCAAACATAAATAAATGTCAGTGTCAGCGTTTCATACGTTAGGAAACATTAGCTGACCGTTACGCAGCGTCATGGGTGCACCGCTCTTACCGAAAGGGGATCTACCATACTCATTTAGTGGAAATACACTTTAATACCGCCGAGCTACAGTATGTGTTTACACAATGCCTCTTCCTCTAATTTCAAAACAGGAACCAAGCGGTCTTGATGGAGAGAATGGGGCCGGGAATATTCCAGTTTGAGCGAGGCATTGTGCTGATGAGCTGCAGCGCAGCGTCAGCATACAGTGTACAGTTTACTGCTGCTGACTGAGGCAAGCATTACCCTTTCTCTCTCTCAGTAACCCTTGTTTATGATTATAAAGTGCAAAGAGGCCATTTTCTCTTGATAGATTAGCATGGTTTCTTACATTCGTTTCAATCAGGATGGAAGTGATTCATCAGAAAAAATATCTTTAATCCCATTTTGAGTCTGTGGTTACTGCTGCAGCAGGGAGCCAGTAGAGTCAGGTATAAAGAGTTAGCATTGCACTCACATTGGACAGTTGAAAAGAGAGGATTTATTATTCCCCTAAATGTTCTCCTTTGTCAAAACATGCCTTCTACATGACCCACAATGCAACTTGAGACACTTCTTTCAGAGATTGGATTGCGTAATGCTAGTAGCAGCTACTGTAGCCTCGCGCAGAGATAAGGAATGAGCTACAAAGGTCAGGTAAACTCACTTCTTTCTAACTCCACACCTCCAGATTTTTTTTTTTAACTTTTTTAAACTAGTACTCCCTAAGACCTGTGAACAAACTTGTATGTTTAGTATCAGTGGAGTTCTTTAAGTGGGATAATAATACAAAACCATTTTGTCTAAAAAGCTACAGTTGTCAAATAACATAGAAACTCTGATACCAAAACAATCATGAATATCTGGAATTCTGCTTATTTGCAAGTATGACTTCATTCCGCTGGTTGATTAGCTTTTTGCGTAACATATTAGACCAGTTAGATTGTGAGCAGCTTCAGGAATAAGTCAGTAACTTGTGTTTACTCAGGGACAACAGAGAAGAACAAAGGCAGCTCTAGTTCACAAAGAGTTCACACTCTTGTCAAATAATCCATCTGGAGTTGATTACATGCGGCGCTCCGACAGCCCAGTATAGACAGAAACCAGACAAAATTAGCTGCCATGTCGGAAGTGGAACCACAATACAGCATGTGAATATATACATACTGTAATACGCTGGTTACTGATTGACTGAAAGACAAACACTGGAGCTCTGATTGTATCATCCCCTCAAAAGAATGCATTCTTTCTCTATTGTTTATAGAATTTGACTCCATAAGGAGAGGTGAAATGACCCTGTAGGTATTTATATTTATACTATATACATGATACGTAATGACAGTGGAATTTCACCATAACAGTATAAATAAGTGTGTGGCCTAATTCTCAACAGTATTTACAATTAAAATGCTTTATGATTGAATAATGCAGTATTATAACACATTACACACGTTTTTCCTCAAACTTCTTGTTCTTTATAATATATGATTTGAAAGATAGAGGATTATTATGACACAACTACAAATATGTATTTTCAAAGCTGGATCTTACCTTTTTGTCGAGTTTTAGCCAAGTGTAGTAACCTTTGCCGTCCATATATTGAAGTCCGAAGTACCAGACCTCACGTAAGCCGATGGTTTTCACCACCTGCACAGAGAAAAGGAATTATTAAGTCTTGAAACACAGTAGTAGGGCAGCAACAAATTAATATTTTCATTATCATGCCATTATTATACCCAAGGTAACAACTTCAAATGTCTTATTTTGTCTGACCAAAAGTCCAAAACTCAAAAGTACTCAGTTAACTATCATATATATCAAAGAGAAGCAGCAAATCTTCACATTTGAGAAGCTGGAACTTGAGGAATGTAAGCATTTTTACACTATTTTTGCTTGAGAAATGACTGTTGTAGTTGCTGATTATGTTTTCTGTTTTCCAGCTCTAAAACACACTTTTGGGGCAAAATACTAACAGTTTTCCACATCACCTGGATACAAAGAGGAATTTAAAAACTCATCATCAACATATTCCAGATAATAATATCTTCAATGAACGTCTTCAGAGATTAAAGGCAAGAACCTTGTAATGGGAAAATAGTTCCAATTTGTCGTTGCAGACACATGAATTGGTTTAAGTGGAAGTAATATCACATCAATTTAAGAAATGAGATGCAGGAATTTCCATGAATTTGACCAGATGTAAGACTGTATTACTCTAAAGAATTCACAACCTGCTCTTCAAGCAAAACAGATTATGAGATGATGATGTGAATGTGCTAGTCAATAGAAATAGATCACGCCTTCACACGTCAAAAATCAGTGAGGTAATTCTTCCAGTAAATGTAAATGAATCACTGACGGTTTTCTTCCTGCGTAGTGAGGAGTGGTGAAAAGGCCTTTGAATGCTTTACAAATACTGGCAAGGCCTGAAGAATCTAACCTTAAGGTGACATACTCAGGTACCAGACTAATCTGGTGAGCAACCCTCATAGTATTACACATTCCCAGGCCTGAGTATGGACTTGGCTAAGGTAATGATACAAACCACAGTCAACTACTGCCAGGACAAATTAAAGTACACTCTGAAACACTACTTTGTTGTCTGAAGACATTTGGCAAATATATGATAGACTCTGGACAGGGAGACGGTCCCATGGATGGCTACCACTGTTACTGAGACTCCACTGCTCCTTTTTCAGAGTATATCTCTTGAGATTGGCACTAAGGCCGCAACCAGGGTCGAGAATTAACACTTGCCAAGCCCCAAATGCCGGTAAATTGTGGGTCCGGCCAGGTCTACATCGCTGTATTTTTTATGTGTAAGGGCTGAGACTTATGTGTCCTTCACTGTCCATCATAGCAGTCGTGACATCAGTGAATCAAATCAAAGCAGCTGAATACTATTTGCACTTTCTACACAATGTCTGTCTATGTTTCTGTCGTAACATGCTTCTTTTTTTTAGCTTTTTTTTACTTCAGAAATACAATATCCCTGTAGTGAGTTTGTGATTATTTGTTTAAATAATAATAATAATGTTAGGAAGCCACTATATTTACAACCAAATTAAAACAACATCAGCACATTCAATAATTAACAGAGTGTTTTCTCTACTTTGTGCGCTTGAAGTAACACGAAGCAGAAAGATGGGAATCTCTGTCTGTTGCAATATGCCACAGCACACAAGAGCATGACGATGGCTGCTCCTTCACAAAGTGGTCCTATTGTTTGACCAGTGAGGAGGAGTGATACTTTATAACGACGGCGTGCTGCATGACCAGCATCCTGTCTCTGACTCTAGGAACAGACTGAGAAGCCTGGAGCAAGGTGGCGGCAGCGGAGGCGGCGGGGAGTCTGCTCCAACTTACAAGGCTGATGCTTTCTGGCAAAAGTGCGATAGCCAAAACTCCTCGTTAGTAACGTCGACAAGGCAGATTATGAACCCAGTTTAAATTTTCAACCACACTGGAAACACTTTTTCAGATCAGCAATTTGAAGATTTTTTTTCAACCAATTTCTGACTGAGGCAGAAAGTGAAAACCCAGCTATAGATCTGGAATAATCACTTATGCGACAGGAGGAGCAACCATTTTCCACTGGCTCCTAAGGAAAAACCTCAACGACCAGAGGCTCTTTATGGCCTTCGGAGAGGCAGAGAAATTTTCCAACAGCCCTGTCTAGGAATTCATGTTTTTGTGTGTATGTGTGTGCGTCGTTAAGTGGGGCGATCTCTGTGCCGGGCCCTTTTTGAATGCATCACTGCCAAATTCCCCACCCAGTCACCAGGTGAGGTGTTAAGTTGCCTGGGCGAAGTTTGAATCAACACCCTGACACTCGGGCCAAGCCCATTCCCAATGATAAGCTCAAGCCAAGGTTAAAATATAAATCAAACTACCCCTCTTACTAGAGAAGACAAAATACAGGGCAGACTGACCTGTGGGAGTAAAAAAATGAATGGCTCTGATCTAGGAACGTTTCTGGTCGTTGTATTTAGTGAATCAACAACAAGCACTAGAAGGGGCCTGAAATGAGAGAGCACTAAACCCTAACCCTGCATCTCACCTGTAATGAAACTCATAAGGCCTCAAAACAATCAGCCCTTTCATGGTGGTTTTGCTTTGGGGTCTACAGAGTGAGAGGCAGAGAAACAGAGTGGGCTACAGATACCGAACCATTTTTCTCAGGGGATAACTACTGTAGAGTTGGTACAACCTCGGTTCTGTAAGGGAAGTAACCATTTTCCTGGGTGAGCTTACTAACCTTTAACAGCACTGTACTTCATTTGACAAATAAAGAGCTGGCTTTAAAAACATGCTGTACATGTTATGAACACCTGCTGCCAAAGAATACTGAAAATAATACAGTTCATTAGAGGAGGATTAAATCTTGAATCAGGGGACACGGGTTTAGTAAACTGACATCGCAGCAGGTTGGGTTGGCAGCTTCAGCTTTGACTTTAATGGGTTGCTAGGTCGCTCCAATGAACGTTTTAAGTAAGATTACAGAAAACAAAACACTCAAAACTCTGACATTCTGCAGTGTTCACAAAATTTAAGACTTTTTAAGACCTTTTTAAAACCGCATAGAATGCAATTCAATACCTGTTTGTTTTTTTTGTCTTTCCAGCAGTTCAAAATAATGATTTAGCAACCTGGACCCGAACAAGTGTTAGAAAATGGATCAATGAATTAACCTATTAACAGCCAGCACTCACATACACAACAGTTCAAACTAATATTATATATAGTAGGCAACTGGCCTTTTTTGAGGAAACTGAATCATACTCTGCTCTCTCTACTCTGCAGTTGCTTGCAAAATATCTGGTGATTGTATTAAGCCATAGATCTGTATAAATTCAAGGGAGCCAAACTCCTTTTTGCAAGCTGTTATAAGCAGAAGCACACGTCTAGTTGGTTCTGGCAATGATTAAGAAACTGTAAACTAAGTGAAACATTTGCAGTCAGGTTGAAGAAGCTAAACTTTAACAATTTCTGTCAACTTCTTACGAACTTCAGATTTGTTTTAGGTTGAACAGTGCAGTTGCGGTTTACATTATATGTACTGGTAGCCAGTAACAGTTAGCATGACTTAAGTCTGTAGCCTCATCTTACAGCGATCTGACAGAGTGAAAGTTTCTCTGCTTGGTTTACAGGAGCTCAGGCCCTGTGGTGAGGGAGAGGAATGCCACAGGGCTGAAAAAGCATTACACGCTGCATCCTTTGGGCTTAATAACGAGGCCGAGTCCTCCAGCGACTGAGGAGGGGAAGGGAGGGGTTCAACCAGTCGGGCCCCAAACAGGGACCAGCACAAAGACTGTTTCGTGGTGGGGAGTGGTGAGGGGGGCAGTGGGTACTGGCCCAAAGGAAATGGGTTTATTGCTGTCAAACCACAGATTAATTGGGACTTAACGGTACAGGGAGTATTACAAAGCCAGTATTTTAAAAGCTAAATATCCAAGAATATTTCTGCTACAGTCTCATGTCAAAGAAGAGCCATCATGCAACATGTTTCCTCTCTTCACTTGGAACAGTTTGGCAGCAATTTCTGAGGCTTTTACAATGTGGGTTGGGTGTATAAGTGAACTAGTTTCATATTTTGCTCCTGACACCTGTCAACCACATTCTTCAGACTTGGATTCAGTTCAAGACATTGCTGAACTGTTTCAAATGTTGCCATGTTTTCACCTGTTTAACATTAATCCTCCTGCCTTTTAACCAATCCAAACCAGTCCTCAAGAGATGAAGCTGCAACTGGAAGCCTTTCAAAACCACATTAATACAGGAGAGAGCATCTGGACCCACACTGAGGACCAACATGGCTACTAGTACATCTACTGTAAACCGCAAATGCTGGGATTTTTCCAATTGCGGCTCAAGGCAAAATGAAACAGCCGTGCGTTTTGTGGAAGTGAAACTGTACAAGGGTGTGTACGGGAGTGGCAGAAGTTTCTAAGAGCGAGTTTAAGAGCAGCATGACAGGGACTAAGGCTATGATCAGCACTGACCACACAGGCCACACCAGGCCTCACACTCTCCCTGGAAATGAGCTCACTGCTGTTACTCAGCATTTCCACAGAACCTGTTTAACACTCCTAACACGCGTACTCCTGTGTCTTTACAGCTGATTACTGCCAAAGCACCCATTTTAAACTAAATCAGGCTGCTGACAGACTTCAGGGACACGACCACCAAGGCTAAATGTCAGCCAAACTCTGAGAACGGCTGCTCAGACTTCAGACAAGGTGTGGGGCTTCGTAGACCATTTCCCATGCTCAATTTTGGAAATTGTATCTTTGCACTGAACTGTGTCTGATGCTATCACAGGGAGTGAGTGATTATCTGTGGCACACCCCTCTGAGAGCCATTCTAACAAGTAGGCGGGGGAATTCACCAACACCTATAAATAGAGAGATGTCAAAGGCGAATAGGCCTTCCTTTAACAAAATCACACATTGGGTTTTAGAGCAGTATGCACAAGGAAGGAAGTATGCACAAGGGCATGTGGCATCAATGAGACACATAATATACCAAATTCTGAATATGGCTTTTATATATATATATATATATATATATATATAGTTGATTTTTGGGGATATTATGCCTGTATTCATCTATGTATTCATCTTTCTTGTTTTACAAAAAACAACAACTCTACAGTGCTTTTGAGATGAAGAGAGAATCCCCTGACACAGTCGGCTACACTCGCTATTGAAAAACTAGTTATACAGGAAGTGGCTAAAACAATGCTTTTCCTCCCCCAGTGCTGTCACAGAGCCTCAGAGGAGCTCACGCTAATGACATGTCATCTACATTTGGATTTTAGGTACCGAGCTTCACAATAGTATTGTATACGAGAGGAAAAGTGTCAATTCACAGAAAAGTCCTCCCTTAACAATACTGTACTGTGTCACAGGACAAATATTAACCCACTAACTAACTTCAACATTTTATACACAGCTGATGAAATACATTTGAGGTTAAATGATAGTGGCATTCATTTATGAAAACAAAAAAACACAATTTTTTTTTTTTAATTTTACTATAAAAGATTATTTTTCAGTATTTAATAATCAGTAAATAGTTTAGCTTCAGTCTCATCAAAATCAATCACGCAAATGTCCTATGTTAAGGAGCTACCGCTGAAAGAGGAAATTCTCTCTGGTCCCAATATTGTGGCCACACCTTTCACTCTGCTATGAGACTGTAACTTCCTCACAGACTTTATCCATGACTGCTATTTAATCATTTGTTTGATGAATGCCTCTAGTTCTCTTTGTCCGCTTAATGCAATTGTTCATTACAGGAAACCATTTATAATAATCCCTGGACCTCACCGGGAAGACAGAGACTGATAAGGCGGACACTTGAAGCCAAAAGCTCCTGTAATCTCAGTCTGTAGGAGATAACTTTCAGACCTGGATGTAAAGAATGGAAAGAGCTTTGGAGGGATGATAATGAGGGCAGACACTTTCTCCTAACACAGATCTCTCTCAGTGACGTCAAGCCAGTTAGCTTAAAGGAATAGTTCAACATTTTGGGAAATTTGCTTCCTTGCCGAGAGTTAAATGATAAGATTGATACCACTCTTCTGTGCATTAAATATTTAGCTGGATCCAGCAGCTGATTAGCTTAATTTAGCATTAAGACTCGAAACAAGGGGGAAACAGCTAGCCTGGCTCAGTGAGAAGCTAACTAAATCCACCGAACAGCACCTCTGAAGCTCACTAATTACCACGTTATATTTTGTTTAATCCATACAAAAAACAGGTAGCAAAAAAAGACAGTGGTTGACTTATGTTCAAGGCTATTTCTTGGCAGGGATAAGTAACTTCCTGGAGTCTCTGCTCAATGCCACGCAGTTGGTCCAAGCAGAGAAATAGTATATAACAATTTGTTGTATTATTTTTTGTAGGGATAACACAAATGAGAAGTGTTAATTAGCAAGCTTTAGAGGTGCTAGTAGGCAGATTTAGTTACCTTTGGACAGAGCCGGCTGGCTGTTTCCCCTTTTCCAGTCTTTGTGCTAAGCTAAGCTAACAGGCTTCTGGCTCTAGCTTCATATTTATCATACAGACAAGTGGTATTGAAATTGTCATCTACAAATGCCTTACTGTGTATGTACTGTTTATGTATATCTGTTTTCATCAGTACCACTAGACCACCACTGGCCCACTTGTATTGATCTTTTCTATAAAAAAAAAAAAACGACTTTTTCAAAAACCCAATTCCAAATTGTTTATCATTTCCACATCGCTTTGTTTCCAAAACCTTTTAAAAGTGATATTGACAACATATTTATGCATCAACACTGATGCACTGTACCTGGTCAAACAGCTGCTTGCCGGTGGTGCTGGGCTGGATGGCAAACTCCAGCTCAGCGTCCATAGTGATGACGCGAACATTGACCTGTGGAAAAACAGGAGAAAACAGGAGTTCAAAAGCTGACCTGGAGCAACAGAGAGGCTCTCATAGGTGAGGACCAAACCGTTTTAAAGCGTGCTAAACTGCAGTGCTCTGCTTTGGTGTGTGTGTGTGTGTGTGTGTTTAGTAAGGGGGTGTATTTGCAGAGTAAACACACAGGGTGCTGTGTTTATCTCTGCTTTCTCAGAGTCAAACAGGCTGATTAAGGGAATACTTCTGTAAAATCTATGGTGTTTTTGGTAAGAATATTCAATGACAGCTCTAAGTTCTGATTTTAAGGAACTACGAGTATTAAGAAGTAGCATATCTAACACTAATTCCACTCATAATGTACCAAGCTGATAAGAGACACCGTGGATGTTATTCTGAATGAATAGACTAAAGAGAGGAGAACTAAAATATGGCAGCTACTTCAGTCATTCAGTCCCATTCACAGAAGAAAAAAAAAAGGCATGTCTTTCAGTTCTCTGGTTAATGATTGATCAGAAGGGCCTGTGCATACAAAAAGAGGTGGTCCATCTAACTGAAACCTGCTTGATGAACAGTGCATTTTAATGTCCACTCACAGGGATCCACCCCAGTGATTAATGTGCAATTTCAAAGCCATTACAAATAGCAGGACTGGTGAGCTGCACAGAATAATGAGGACTGACGTCAACCGTGTCCCATAATGGAGAGAAACAATATTCTGTATTGTAGGTTTGGTTAGCAATCAGCAAAGTCCATGCAACAATGCACAAATATTAACAATAGCTGCTTTGAGGTAATGCACATGCAGACTTTCTTTTCTGTGGGTATAATGTCAAATGTCTCTGGTATTTGCGTGGGGTTATGAAAAGACACAGACCCTCAAAGTATTGACTGAACTTATTAATGCTCAGTGAAAACGCTACAAAGAGGTGGACACAGAGTGGAGACAGAAAGCCCGCTAACAGAGCCTCTCAGTGACATCTTTCATCTCCAGCCCATTGTGAGTAGCCCAGAGCCTCAGCGGTGAACAAATTCAGTGACGCCCACTGGAAAAGGGATGTCTGGGCTGCAGCAGTGACTCTCTGGTGACTCAGAGCTCCACCGACTCCTATGCTACACAGGCTGAGCAACTAACTGACAGGCTTAAATCCTACAGAGAAGGCAAATCCAATCACGGCATTGGATGAAAGCGCCTCACCACAGTTCAGGATATTGTAAGAACACAGTAGTCTAGACAGTGGATATTCAAGGATGACCCACTTAACATCTGCTGCCTTCAAGTGAGGTTAGCAGAGTTGACTCAGGATCTGTGGCAAGGAAAACTTTTCTTTACCAAAAAAATTGAAGTGGGGAAGGACTCAGAACCACATAGAGTTTGTAGCTCTGCCACATGTGCATTTTATAATTTGAAACTTTTGGAGTCAACTGTCCAACGGGGCGACTTACACCAGCTAAAAGGCAGGGGAAGGAGGGGAAACACTGCATTTACTTTACACAGCAAAACAAAGATCCCCTTTCAGCTGCAGTGCCCCAGCAGTGCTTCGCCATCATCATCTACATTCTACTGGAGCCGATTCCCAAAAACTACCACAAAACTGCAGCAGAAGTGATCCCAAATGGCTCTAATGGGCGATATTTTGAGATTCCCCTTGTTTAAAAGTGATTTTATGATTTACAAGCAGCAGCTCTGACTTCTGTGATGCTTCTCTCAACATCACAGTCTTTATTTACAACGGTTACAGATGGAGCACCTAAAAAAACACACCCTAACCATCAGAGAATGGAATATGTGAATGTGTGGAGCAGAAGCCAATAGAAAACCACTGAGTGAGCGATATCTGATCTGAAAGTAAGTCCTCCAACGGTAACTCACAATAAACTGAGGCCATTCAGAGCGGTAAAGAAAACATGACACATATGCTAAAAATATACCGGGCGAAGACCCAGAGTTCCACAATGAGCAACTTTAGTCAGAGGAAAGTACAGACGTCCATATAAACCATATAAAGCCCTGCTTCACAGGTCATTACAGAAATAACTGACTCAATACTCTTAGCTGCAGGAGCAACTCTAACTTGCTACAGTGACACAGATCATGTGCACATTTTCACACTCTTAGTGGAAGGTACACAGCTTTGGTAACCAGCTTTGGTAACCAAGAAACAACAACAAGTAACAAGAGCTCTATGGTAACGCAGGGGATGCAGTAGAAAACGTTGATTAATTCTTTTTTTTTTACATTTAGAGGAATAGTTTGTCATTCTGGGAATCAGCTCGTACACATAGTCAGATGAGAAGATTGGTACCACTCTCATGTGTGTACAGTAAATACTTTATGTAGCTACAGCCAGCAGCTTAGCATATAGATTGGAAACAGGCAGCGTGGCTCTGTCAAAACGTAACAAGAACCCACCTTTTAGAACCTTATTAATTAACACGTTGTATCTCATTTGTTAAATTTGTACATTTTAAGCACACATTTTACGAGGGATTTTATATATAACATATTAATGAGTGAGTTTGAGAGGAGATAATTAAGTTTGAGAGCCTTTATGCTGAAGCTAAGCTAACAGTCTCCTGGCCCTAGCTACAAATTTACCAAACGGACGTGAGAGTAAATATGTAGCCAAAACAAACTAGAACACAGTATTCTATGCAAAAGACAGACAGTGTATCATATTAACCCTTCTGGCTCACAGTCTCTCCAATATATCACAGATTTACCACCCTGAAATAATCCACAGAACTACAAAGGTCACATTTACAGCCAGAGTTTAGACAATTAATAGATTTAACAATAAGTAAATTAACTATTCTGTAAACTAATAAATCAACCCATTCCTCAAGAATACTAAAATATTTCCTCGTTCTAACCCTCTAAAGTATAAGGACACACCGCCCTTCCCTGCCTTATACAATCATAAACTGCCCTTCCTTCAGACTGCTGAGGTTAAGGAGCCGCTCTGGGTCAAGTTAAAGAAATGAGGTGGTCAATACCTCAGTAGTTAAACTGTGAATAGGTCGCACTGCATTCTTCGGTGAGGACCATTCAATATTTAACCCTCTGCATAGTTTACATGGCTTTACAAGAGCCTTTTGCAATGGGAGTCACCATGGGGATTGCTCTGAAATGGTCTGGGAGTAATAAGCCATTAACGACTGCTAGTACTTGAGTCTAGAGCAGTTGTACGGATGGAGAGAACGGGGAACCTTTTATTAAGGCTTTTAGGATGTAAGGTATCTGGTAAGTGTATTTTAAACACACCTAATAGTAAATTAGAGTTCGAGGACTTGTAACCATTTTTGGTTTCGTGAATCAGGCCTGGAGGGCGTTCCGGGGCATGATTGAGTTATCAATTATTTAAAGGAACAAACACTAACAATAGCACTGGACATGAAAAGGAAACACCCATCCATGTTGATCGTGGCCACGCCTTGTACGGTTTGTGCCAGCGGGCTGTGACGGAGAGGAAACAGGATTCTGGGAGAGCCAAGGAGGACTATCATTTACTTCTGACAATGTGTCATTCAGATAAGTGAAACATGAGTCACACAGACGCCAATACAGAAGCCTTCACTAGTCCTCAAATCTGGTCCAACGTCCTACCGCTGAGCGTCTTGGTCCTAGGTTAGAAAAAAAAATGAGTTTCTCTCTTCCCAACACACGACGTTGGAATGTCTGATATGATGCCAGGTATCCAAGCTGAAATAATTCAGACTGCCTGTAGGTTTCTGAGCCAGTTAGGATCAGATTTAAGGCAAGTTAGCACTTTTATCCTCTTTGATCTTTGCTTTTCAGGGACTACGGTTACTTTACAATTAAATTCCTACACTTTTGTATTATGTAACAGTTAGCAGTGACGAGAGACGCTAACGGTCGGGAGAAAGAGGGGCAAGAGGATGCTTGATATGTACAGTTCAGTATCTGGCAGGTATATCACAACTAAACTTTTTTGACACAGTATTGTCCTTTTGGGTGCATTTACCCAAATTATTCTTATATGTTATACATATAAAATCAAACACATGTTTCTTTTTAAGACTTTCCTTAAACAATTAATTTCTTCCAGAAGTTCAAATCATACAGATTTGAAGGATTCTTATGATTGATTTTTGCTTCTTTGGCTTTCAAATTATTTATTGATCAATTAACAAAAGGTGCCTGATGTCAGGTTGCATTAAAAATGAACATTACCATGATACCGTATATCACTATTCCAACTTATATATCATGCTTTACAAATGTGTAGGCAATTAAACAACTAGAGCTAGAATTATTTGATTAATCAATCAGTCAGTTAACAGAAACGGAATCATCAACTATTCTGATAATAGTCTATTAATCGTTACAGCAGTTTTATAAGTAGAAATGCCAAATAACTGTAGTTTTTCTTCATCATTTGACAGTAAAGTGAATATCTTTGAGTTTTGGACTGTTTATTGGAAAAAAGAAGCAAACTGAAGTCATCACCGTGGGTTTAGAGAACCTGTAAGTGGCATTTTTGTCACTATTTTTAACACTGTATAGACTAAACAATCAATGGATTAATTGAGAAAAGAATCTGTACATGAAGCCATAAATTAAACAGCTCGTATGTAACAGAAGGCTCATCTGACCGGAGCTTTTGGGTGCCATCACCCTGCCTACATTTCTGGCTACAGGCTTCAGCCACTGACACTCTTCAAACTAGTAATCTAATTACACACTTTGCACAGAGCTCAAAAAATAAACCCTTATTTACATATCCTGTCAGTGCACAAAGTGCGAGTCAACATTTGCAGGAGTAACTCCAGAGCACGAAGCTTTCTGGAGGAAACTGCATCAAAAAAAAAAAAAAAAAAGGAATAACTAACTTCATTAAAGCAGACTTAGTGTCATATTGATATTTTTCGTGCTATGTTGCAGAAGGGCCGGCTCAGTCACGAGGCATTGACAGCAAACCAGAAGATAAAAATAAAACCCAAGGCTTGTGTTCTCGTCTTTGTATCATGGAAAAGAAAACAGTCTGACATTATCGTCCAAAAAGGCTGTTTTGTGGCGTCTGGACTCGGTGCGCTGCTGCTATCAGACAGTAATGATGTCATTTCCACAGCGACGCTCATGACAACCGTGAGGCCATTACAAACAAACCGACAACACACTTTATGACACTGACCGGGGCTTTTCAGTCACTGTCATCACAATACGCTGCCCTGTTCAACCTGTCTCGGTCTGGAAGGTTTTCTGCCTTTTTTTACTAAAATCTTTCCAACTCTGATCCTCTTTTACACAAGTTATTTATTAGACTTTAGTAATTGTATGTTTTAGGAAACTCTGGACTTTCTATTCTACTTTTTAAATAAAGAACAGAGGATAGGGAAACATTCGGTTCCGTTTTAAATACGTTTTACTCATATCTACGCCTAACAAATGTCCATCACATTTTGCTTAATACTGTAAAACAAACAGGTTATAATGCTGGATATTTCCAGACAGTGAGCTTAGGGAGGGACGTTTGCCATGTGCGAATGCAGAGTATGTAATAGTTGGGGTGGGGCACTGCGAGTCAGGAGCAACTGGAGGCAAAAAACCTGTTCAAATATTTAGAACTGCTTCATCAAATAATGTCTTTTTGTGCCTTTTTAGTTCTGCTTCTCTGATGATTAAAAGTCACAGATACTATAAATACTGTAAGTCACTGTACGATGACTATGGGAACATGAAGTGGGAAGCAAACCCCCAATTTTCAACCTAGAAAAATAATAACTTCACAAGACCCAGGGAAAACCTTGTATTCATCTCAACCTCCCGAGGATATAAACAGGACATTTTCCACCACCCCCACTTTGTTTATAATGTTGCACAAGTGTACAGGCATTACAGAGAACGATTTTCAAAAAGATATAGATCCTGTGATTATGTCCACCCACGCTGTGAGCAAGTTTTAAAACACTTTGCTCGCACTGTGGTTGTCTTGAACATCAGTCTCAAAAAGGTTCTTGTTCCTAGAGTTGGAGAGCAAATGAGGGGATGATGCTTGCTCACATATGGGACACCCCCACAGGATATGAGACAGCATGTGATTTGAGCGGCATTCCCCTTTAACACAGACCCTACTTATATTTTAAGTTTTATGACATAATTCAAATTCAGCCCAGTGAAAGTGAAAAAAAGAGGATATTGTTCTGGCTGTGATTTAGTCCTCAAAAGTGTATTTCTTGTTTAGTTTAAAGCCACATTTATTTATTTTTGTGGGTGTCTGACTCATTCACTGAGAGTTTAAAAGCAATAAATACGTGTAATTAAATGTTTCACAGTGATCACTCAAACTGGGAGTGGAGGAAACTACTCTGACAGCATCACTTTAACACGGGAAATCTGTCACTATGATGTGATTTAAGCTCATTTAATAGAAAAACAGAAACTATCATCTGACCTCCATAAATCCTATTTAAATCACTATTAAACCAACAACCACCCAATGAATATAATGTAATAAAGTACTAGCGTTAGCATCAGTATGCTACTGTACCACATATTTAACAGTAAGTACTGTTAGTTAAATATACATTTAGTCATTTAATGTAAGAAAAGATGATAAATTACACCTGAATTGGGAAGTTTAACCCTCCATTGACGCTACCAGTCATGTTTTTGTTCAGCCCTGACTGCCTATAAAGTAGTGACACAACAAAAAAGAGACTTAAAACATCAATAAACCAAATCAATAACGTTACTTACCGCTTTCGGCATGTTTCTGTCCTTTTTTTTTCCTAGCTCTGTGCGAGGAGCCCCTTAAATGAGAAAATAAAGAGTTTCCACAGTAGATACGACCGCTCCGTGCCGCTTGCTGTTTCTCTCTGAGTCGACCTGAAGAGAGAGAGAAGAGAAAGAGGAGAAACGAGTTTCAGCCACTTCGGCGTTACTTAAACCCCCGACGGAGAGCAGCTCGGCACTCCTGCAGGCGACAGTCATCCGGATGAATCACCGCACAGCTGATAAAGCTAACAGCAGCCAGAGAGCACGGCGCGGGAAGCCACGCGGCGCGGACTTCAAAGTAAGAGCACGTCGAGCAAGCGTTTTACAATAAGAACCACAATTGTGTATTTTAACCTTCATATAAACATTTTCAACAAGAAGGAAACAGTGGCACTCCATCCCAATAACCCTGTGACTGGAACTAGGATTTATAAACACAATAGTTGATAATAACAGTCGCTGATAGACTAATAGTGACTAATATACAGAAGCTAATAGGGATCTTAATAAACAAACAAACAATATTGTGATTATTTTGAAAGATGTGTGCGATTAACAATTATGAGGGAATTATTATTTTTGCATCACAAATTGAACAACAACAAAAAAATAAATTTAAATCATGATTTTGTGATATTTTTTGGTGTGTACCAAACAAATGTGTTTTCTTAAATCCTGAAGAAGATTTGTAGACCAGGCCGCCTCTGCAGCACTACAGTACTTCATTATAATGCTGTTTATTACACATTTTACCATAAAACAATAAAGCTCTTATGATTTGCATATTGCTTGTTACTGTTGTTGTTTATGTTTACATATATATGTATATTTTGTTGAGCTTGTTGTCTTGTTTATTTATGCTATTCTGTGTATATATATATCAAGACTTTTTTTTGTCAAATATGATTTAATTTTGATTTAGTCTATAAAACTTAAATTGAAGCAAATCAAACCATTCTCAGAGCCCTTGATGACAATTTTAAGTGTATTGTTTTGTTTAACTGTCCAAAATCAAAAAAATACTCAATTTTCCATCATATTGAACAGCGAAAAGTAGCAAATTCTCACAATTATTGGTAATTTATGCTCGATATATGACTCAAAAACGTGTCGATCAAGTTTCTGATGACTGATTAATCAACTAATCTACAAACGAACAAAAATAGTTTGATCACAGACAATACTTTTGAGTTTAACTGATGAAATGTATCATGAAAGACCTAACGTATATCTCTCTGATTAAACAATCCTGTTAACACATCAAATATATATATATATTCCAAAACCCCAACCCTTATTGCAGCTTTACTCTAAATCATTTTATTCTGAAATGTAACACCGGAAGTCCCGCATTTCTCCTTCTACCTTGAATCACCAGGCAGCAGCAGGCAGGGTAAATATGGTACTCAGCGTGCCTCACCCACCAGCTCACTATGATAAAGTTATAGTCCCCACCCTGCTCTGTCTTAACCTTTTTTTATTTTGACGACTTAAATCACCAACAAACCCACACCCCGAATCCGGATCAGGGGCCATTTACACCAGTATCTGTACACCAGGATCAGCTCTGTATCGCTTTTAAAAAACAAATGTTGCATTTCCCTAAAGATAACCATCAATGCACAGACTCAACGTAACCTCTTTAAAGGTTGTTACAGTGTTAGAAAATGAAACAAACTGAGGGTATATTTCCACAGGAGGTGTTGTGAGTGAAGGTACACACCCACAAACACAGGGAAACGGATCCAAGCCCAGCAAACGAGAAAATCCACCTCTCATCAGCGATACAGGGCAAATAATGTCATCATAAAAACACATCTTTAAAACGGTTTCCACCTGTTTATCAATGTCAACCCCCCACCCTTCTTTTTGTGTGTGCAGGAGCTTGATCCGTGCTGCAGTCAGCCACATCCTCACTATAATCCCACTGACACCTGTTGGGAGATTTGCCTCCTTTGTGCAGCAGGAAAAGTGCGCAAAATTAAAAAGAAGTGTGTTTGAAGTACAGCCCGCAGCTCGCTGTGCCTGCAAAGGGAAGGGGAGGGCGGTGTTTCAGTCAGTGGTCCGCTCGTTCAGGGTCTTACCGGAGCCGATGAGGTGTTTTTGGAGATGATGGTTGTTCAGCGGTCGCGGGTTTCCCCCTCCCTCTGTTCACACAGGCGCAATATGGCGCACCGGGCCGATTCCTTGTTCCTGCTGTCGCCGGTAGGCCGGAGGTTCACAAGCCAGGGTTCGGGGACCATTAGGGGACTCTAAGAGAGGGGGGGGGGGTCCCCAGGCAAAACCAAAGACAGTTTCTAGATTACTTAAGGGACTTTTTTACTCCCCCCACCTACACTGAGGTAGTTAAAACCACAATCAGAGTTTGGTTTGAGGGTCGTTGGCATGGAAACGCAAAGACTTGCATCCCCATTAGAGGATGAGGTTCAGGGGCCCATAAAATCCAGATTGATGTGAACATACTGTACTGTACAGTGGTCTAATTAAAGGCTGTGACTAATCCCTGGTAATGAACTCTATCTGTCACTGTAATGTTCATTAATGATGGTTTGATCGGTGGTTTCACATCATCATTTACTCGTTTTAAAGATTAAATCCGACAGTCCCAATTATATACTTTTACTATATAAAATAATTGGCTCATATTTACCCAAACTCAAAAACTTGGACCAAAAAAACAATTTCAATTATCTTATTTTTTATATTTTTATATTTATTTCTATAGCTAAAAACCTGTTGCTTTATCTTATTTCTTATATTTTTATAGCTAAAAATGAATAACATTGCTGTAATTGATAAATTAAATAAAATGAATTGGACTGCTATTATATCATTAATGTGTTTATCATTTTATTTATTTATTTATTATTTCCTGAGTTTCACAGACAATAAGTGGCAAACTATGACCCACACAGTACATACAATAACACAAATAGGCCTGTGGGGGGCGTAATATCTATATCTCCTCAATAAAATCACACTGTATTATGTATGTCTATAAATCACACCTTTAAATCTAACATTAAAGTATTTCCTATCAGCAAACACTCAATTCTGTTTGCCGTTGTACTAAAAATAAAAAAGAGCTTTAATTTTAATTAATGAGGATACAATTATTTGCGCAGTGACCTTTAATACAATCTGTGACTCTGGATCAGTTAATTTCAAAGCTCATCCATCCGCTGTGTGTCACCTGCCCCCCCTGATCACTGATGCAGCACAGCACAAACTTTCCTGTCACTCTGTGGCTCACAGGAGGGGGAAGTGCGCGTCATCCGCCCTGCTGTGAGGGAGGAGGCGTCACAGGGTGCGCCGACCAATGGGGTGCGGCGGATTAAAATAGAGCCGTATATATCGGAGGTTAGACCTACCTCGCACCATAATACGAAACCGAAGAGTGATGTGACAGCCCTGCACACCGCTTTGTGCCACTTAACCGGCTGTAAGCCTTCATCCTCATGGCCTTTGTCACCACTTACATCATCATCAAGAGCACTTTCTTCTAACTACAATAGAGTTTTAAGGCTTTTGAAAATAAGTTAATAATTCAATAAATGTCTTTGATGCATCAGGTGGTTGTTTGGAATTTGGATTTGCACACAACCAAACGTCAGCTTTTTTTGTTTTTGTTTTTGTGGGGGTGTAAATTTAGCAGAGCAATGCAAAACATTCTTGAATTTGCCTGTAAGAGCACCTGAACGAACTGTTTGCAGACTGATGCCAGATGCAAATAGATAAAGTCACAGGAAGCCACTTTGAATGGTGCTCTAAATATCTGGAGTTCCTTTAAACCCACCTAGTCTGGAACCGATATCTCATTCTTTGATTCATTCTTTGCAAGATAAAACTTTTCTTTGTTTTTTCTCTGGTGGGTGTTTTGAAAAACCTGGTTACTGGCAGGAAATGTCTCCTGATAAGTGGTAAAACTGACAAATACACTGCATGCCTGAAAGAATAAAAGGTTGTTTTGACTGGTTATCACAAAAAAGGGAGGTAAACGATAATACATTTAACACAAAACAGTAAAAGTTTGAGTGTTACAAATCTTCCACTGGCAGAGGAAAGGGAGCGTGACCACGTCCGATAGTATGACTGGAACTTTGTGGGTTTACAGTAATGTATTCACAATGAAGCCCACAATATGTTGATGAAAGCTGTTTTCCATGGTCAAGAATGAGACCCCTTACAATGCTTCATTCACTGACTGCAGCCTATTCATACATCATATGTAAATGTTTTTATATTTTTGATCTTTTATCATCTAGTGATAGCTGAAGAGTGACCGGAAAAGAGGGGAGAGAGGGGGGATGACACAGATTTGAACCCATGGCTGAGCAAAGACTCATTCTTGGTGTGGCACCAGCTCTAGCAGGCCAGCTATTAGGACTCCTCCATATATTATATTTTAAAAAACAAATAACAACTGCTTAAAACAACAGTTAAGGTCAGTTTTTACAGTAAAGTTACAGAATCTCTTCACAATGTGCAAACAAATGTGCAAAATTGGATAATATAAAGCTGCCTTTTTAAGATTGGAACAAACACTGGTATTAGTATGTGGCAACACAGGGTAGATGGTCGGGGGGAAATAATCACTTTATTTTAGAGAGTACATTCATGACCTTGACATTTCTCAGTGAACCATTATCACTCAGTCTCTCTATGTGTCCGGTTTAGCTGGCTGCAGCTCTTTGAACCCCTCCAGTCTCTTCTGGACCACATCGTGGATGATAGCTGAAATAGAGGACAAAGCGTTTCAATCACTGACATTAACGACTTCTGTAATGTTTAAATGGAACCACTAGATGGCACTCCAACAATGTCTATGACCTGATGACCCCTGGAGGAGGACTTGTGAAATACCTTTGAGCTGTGAGGGGCGATAACATCAGCCTCTAGAACACCTCGATTGAACTCCAACAGCTCAGAGGAAGGTTATGTTTACTCTGCTTTCAGGAATACTCTAACTGTTTCATTGGATGGACGGCTTTTGGAATTTGTGACTATTTTTAGTTTTTATCCATGACTCTCATGAGGGCAGCTGATAATGGATCTTCTTCCTGCTCCCTTTAGATCAAGTCCTGTGTATCATTTTGTGACAGACTGCAGGTTGTGTACATGTTTGGACTAGCGGTGCACACTGAACATATAATAATAAAACATAAATACTGGTGCTTAATGATGGAGTCTATAGCTGGTGGCTAGTCTTCTGGATGCTA